GTTTGGCACTCTTGAACATGAGGGAGATGTTGGAAGAACATTTTGAGTTTATGGACAAAGGCTCAAGCCTTAATTTAGTGGAGAAGAGAGTCATGTTGAGACCATTTCCCTTGTAGGCCGGAATTGAGAAGAAAAAGGCCACGTCTATCTAGGGACGTTCAATCAAGCGCCTTTTGGGAGGTAGCCAAAGTTTTAAAGCTTTAATTTCACTTTTTGCTTATTTGTTATTTGTTTTACTTTAAGTTCTTATAGAACACTTTTTGGCTATTTTTGAGTAATGTTTTCTTTAATTTTTAGAATTTTAGGGATTGGAAGCATATGAAGAATTTTCGATTTACGTGTATTTTTTGTGAGAGAAAATACTGTAGCGAATCATGAGCCATGATTCAAATCATGGTTTGAATCCTCCAACCAAACATCAATGCTTAAGGAGTTGGAATTTATTTTCAAGTTTGGTGGGGCTGCAGCGGATTAAAAGCCCGCTGTAGCGGTCGTGGAAAAGCAACACTGGGTAGAGGAGAAAGAGTTACAGGCTGCAGCAGGCTCAAAATTCCAGAGAGCCCAAAAAAGTAACAGGCTGCAGCAGGAGTCCAATCCGCTGCAGCGGTCACGACAACACCTCCGCAACAATCAGAGGCACACTACAACGCCAATTAGGCCCGCTGTGGTGCGCAAGCAAATTTTAAAGAGAAAACGGTTACAGGCTGCAGCGGGAGCCCAACCCGTTCCGCAGTTACAATAGAAAAACCTTAATCTAGGGTTCGACGCTTCTGTGCATAAGAGACCTGTTACAACGCTGCAGTGAGATCTGCACACTTAAAAGACAACCCAACATCAAAGTGCTTCATTCTTTCACCCCCAACTCAACGCTACTCGACTTCTCTCGACCTAAGTCACTCCTAATCACTAAAAATTCAACATCCAAATCTAAAAAATCACCCTAAATCTTCACTTTCTCACTGATTTTCACCTTCATCTCCGCCGAAAATTCTTCATAACCACTACATATACACCCCACGCCATTCTTCTTCAAGACTGACACTCTATCTCTCCAATCACGCTCAACAGCGCTCCACCTTGAGGGCTTCCCTTCCCCACTCGGATTTAGCACATCAAGTAAGTTACTCCTCAAGATTTGTTAGATTTTGGGTAGGAGCTTAGGTTTGTGCTTTGCTTGAAGAAATTTGAATTTGGCTGTGCATTGTGGAATTTTTATTGGCTTGTGGAAGATTAGTGATTGTTGCACCCTTTTTTATGGGGAATAGTTGTGAGTTTGATATTTTTTTGGTTTTTTGTGATTTGGTAATTTGTAATTTCGTTGATCGTGTTGGTGGATTGCTTTGCAATTTCCTTGTGAGGTGTTTGTTTTCTTAGTAAAGTGTGTTAATAGCATCCTTGCGGTGTCGTGTTGGCCTTGTTTTGGTTGTGTGGTTATTTGGCAATCAATTTGAAAATGCTGGTAAAAGGAAGTGTTGCACCATGGTCGAACACTTAGGCCATCCTTTGAGTCGTATACGTCGAGAGCTCCAGAAGTCAAGGGCTGATTTCTAATGTCGAGAGCTAACAGCTAAGGAGATGTTTTTAGGTTGAGTAGAGCTCCTAAAGACAAGGCATTCAAGTCGAGCAGTCCTTATAAGCCTTTGAATGTTTTGGCGTCGAGAAGTCTACAGGATCATATTCAAAATCCAAATCCCGCCAAATTAGAAATGGATAAACCTCATCAAATATCCGAATTGAAACTGGAAGATCAGATGATAATCAATAAAAATAATTCCCTAGATTCGGATATTCAAATAAAAGTATATTTCAAAAATCTCTTAATTAAAAGAGATAAAGGGATCATTATCAGAAAATTAGGGATAAGAGTTTTTGTATTCAGGAGAGCTTATAAATAAAGATTGAACTCCTCATTTGATTTTTTACGCATTATTTTCCTACTGAGAGAGAAACTGTAATTCTGAGAATTAATGCATCCACAAGTGAACGTAAGCAAAATATTTTTATCGAACCACTATAAATTTGTGTCTTCTTTATTATTTGCATTTAATTATTCAATCAATTCGTGAGAATTACTACGCGAGTGTTTTCAGAAAGATTAGATCTCGAGTTGACGAATTTTCACCATTAACAACAGAAAAGAAGGAGGCTAAGAACAAGAAAAAGGGAGAAAGCTCACAAGGCCGCTGAGGAATATGTGTGACAAATTTGTTTCCCAAGCCGGCGTGGATTAGTTATAATAAGTATACCAAGAACCGGCCGGTATTGGGGAATATTAATCGGGAGCAGGGCTGGGGCGGGATCAGTGCTTTAACCGTTGTGAGGGAATTTTATGCCAATGTTGCTTTTAGCACGGGTAGCAAGACGAAGGTGAGGGGTAAAACCATAAAATTTGATGCCGAAGCAATTAATAGCCACGTGTCAAATATTCCAGTTCCATATTTTGGGTGCAATTTTTGTAGACAGACATATGGCATCCCCATAAAAGGAAGCTGTCACAAACAGTTAATATTTCGAATGTATAGACCCTAAAGTGAAAATTCTTCAATTTACTTGAGCCTATAAATCTAAATTTTTATTTTTTATTTATGATTAATATCATTTTAATTAATGAGATTATTTAATTAAAAAGTTAAATTATAAAGATAAATAAAAATTTATACTCACGTACTCTAAAAATATTTATTATTTTTTCTTCACTTAAAAATGACGAGGCATTTCTGAGTAAAAATGTGGTCTACAAACGGCTCACTCTTGTCTCTTCATTGACAACCAGTTGTGGGGTATTTGCCTGTCAATTGTAATGGTGTTTGTAATATCAGTTAAATCAAAAGAAATCTGAATGGTTTTACGTTTAAGATTTTTCCAGTACGTTATGAAGAAAAAAATTACAAATTAAAAATTAAAAAAAAAAAAAAAACTAGTGATAAAGCTCTACGCCAAACTGGCAGATCTGTATTAGTGTCTTTCAGTTGTGGACGAGATTAAGGACTTATTATTCTTTTGAAATAAAACTCAAAAAAAGTTTAAACTCATGTTATAATTTTTTTTAAGTTTATGTTCGTTTATAAAATTTAATTTTGAACTTGAGTTTAATTCAAGTTTTAACTTGCGTTTTGGGCTAAAATTTAAGTTCAAGTTTTCCCTTCAACTCAAGTTCTTAAACTAAAATTCAAGTTAATGAATAATATTTTTTCTATTTTTAAAAATGTCATAACTTTTTTGTTTTAATTCCAATTGAGATGATTTATTTTTCTATGCGTTCACAACGAAAAGACAAATAAAATCCCACCTATATACCCTATTAAAATTTTTCATCACCATTGAGTTTTTATTAAAATATTATCTAAATACAAATTTAAGTTTTGACCAACTCAAACACAAACTCAAATAGATTCTCAATTCAAATCATAACTCAAATGTGCAAATCCAAACACAAACTCAAGTTACAACTTCAACTTAAATTCAACTCAAGATCTACATTCAAGTCACCATAACTAAAAAATACAACCGAACAAGATATAAATGTTCAAAAACATACAATTACGTATTCTTTTTTTCTCCTCACATGTCAAAGCAAATTTAAAGGACTTTTCTAAATACAGTAATACACCTTGGTGTGAAGAAAAATATACATACGCACACGCGCGCGAGATGTCTCCTAATATAGTTACAAAGTGTGGGATTATGACTGGAAAGACAGGTGAGGTTACTTTACACTAGTTATAGGGATGGATGAAAATGTCCACGAATTTATCAACATCTCCATGACGTTATCCATATTGTAAAGTCTTAACATAGATAAGGGAGATGCGGAAACAAATGTATTGCTCAAATTAAGATCTCGTAAAATCTTAACATAGATAATGGGGATATAAAAACAAATGTATTACTCAGATTAAGATTAGAACCTACCTAATACTTTTATACATGATGTTCTCCAACCTACTAGGAAGTCTATTACGTTTAGTAGTTAAATTTTATGTATTATATTATATCATTGTATTTAATTTAATTTGTAATGAGTATGTAATATTATAATGACATCATTATCCATATGTAATTATGATAGTTTTCTATGTCACACACATCTCATATTTCGATTAAAATATATTATTTTGTTATTAAATTTGTTAAAGTTTGATTGTTTTAGCATTTTGTATAATTTCAACAAATATTTTTAAAGTTTTCTTAAAATATTCATTTTTGTCCTCACAATATCCATCGCTACCGACTTTTTCATTAATATTATCTGTAAATCAAAACCTCGAGACATCAATTTTTTTCGTCCTTGGTTATAGGCAACAAAGGCTCAATGGTGTTTTAAATAGACTGAATACTTGGACTAGAGCTACCAGGAGGGGGAACTCTTATTGCGATTTGTGAGGGATATTCTATAGTCAAATTCTGCAAGCTCAAATAGAGAAGGTTTTCGGTAGTGTAGATAGAATGCCTGCTCGGAAAGTTGATGAGTCTTTTGAAGGTTCGTTCATTCTATTAAAAAGACTTAAAACTTTTTTCACATTTTGTTGAAGGGTGTCTCGTGGTATTCAAAAAAATAATAATAAAATAAATAAATAAATAAATAAAAGGCCTTGAGACCTCCACAATTAGCCAACTTTTCTTGAGGGAGCAGTAATTTCTCTCACCCAGAGTGTAGCATATATAGAAGACAAAAAACTCATTGAATTAACTTCATCTTGTTTAAGTAGACTCCCCAAGGAATAAGCATTATTATGCATTAAAAAGAGTTGTAGTTGGTTCAACAGAAACCCAAAGAAAGCGGAATCTATATTCCTGTATTTCAAAGCCTACCATCATCTCCATCTCCATCTCCATTCAAAACATTTGACGACATGACTAACCCGAACCCCCTAATGCTGCAAAGTCCACTCAGAACATAACAAATAGCTCCAATTCCATCCAAAGCATGACAAATGTTACGAAGCAGTTTACCACACTAATTTAAGCATTTATGGATGAGCCTCCAAGGAAACCTACCATTTTAGGGAACTCGAAACTATTGGTTATTCACTAGGTAGATTGGTTTGAGCATTTACAATACTAAACGCAGCAACAATGGAAAGGGTCACTGTCCAGTATCTACCTTCATATGTAACACAGCCAAGGTCATCAGAGAAAGTCCAGTTTATTGTTAATACTGGTGTCGGTATGGTTAAATGAAATACAAGCTTAGCATTCCATTGAAAGCACATTTCAGATAATTTTATGCAGCATGCCCGTTTATAGTAACTGCAGACAAGCTTATAGTATTTGATAATTATTCAATAAGAGCAGGGGAGTCAGTTTACTCCGCAAACATATCTATCCCGATGGCCCAGCGTCCAAGCAGAATTCAGATTACCCAGGGGGCCAGTTCATTTGCCTTCCTCCAAGGAGGTGGACATGAATATGATAAACAGATTGACCTGCAAAAATATAATATAGTAGTCCTATTAACTATATGTTTAAGATAACCAATTAGTAGTAAGACCGCAAAAAAGTATTGTCCCAACAGAGAGAATACGAACATCCATTTGGACCATCGTTGATCACAATTCTGAAGCCATCATCCAGGCCTTCTTGTTTAGCAACTAGCTTAGCTGTGTAAAGAAGTCGGCCAAGAATGTCCAAGTGCCTCTCCTCAGCCTAGTAAGAAAAGTTCATTATATGCAAAGGTTAAAATTACCCCATTCAAATAAAGTAAATAATAATAATAATAGTAATAATAAATAAACAAATAAAGGAAATAAAAACTCAAGAAAAACTTTATATTTTAAAAGATACTCAATACAAAGGAAGAGGACAAGGAGTCCTCGAGACAAAAACGCGAACAACAAAATAGAAAAACAAAAATAGTCTCAAAAATCAACAATCAATACATCCCACAATTTAAAATAATCAGCGTGAATGGAAAGTGTTATAAACCCATTAGGTAGACCTCACCCTTGCAAAATCAACTTGCAAGGGGAGGGAACCCAAGGGCTTATAAACTCACTATTTGTCTTATAATCATTCCCTGTGGGACTTTGGGTATCTAACATTCCACCACGCTTTGCAATCGCCGTCCCTAGTGGCCCATCTTCCCAGCTAGGTGACTTTGCGGATCCCGCCTTCTATCAGGTAGCAGCCCTGCCAAGGTAGCCCCATCTATAGGAAACGGTTACAGAACAGTAGCCCTTACTACGTCCGATCCCATACTTGATATTGTGATTTTGTAAAATTCCACCACGCCTGGGCCCAAATCAACGGCAGTCCACATTATCGACATTGACCCGGCAGTATTCCTTTCCTCATTGACAGCCTCACTCGACTATCAGTATCAATGCTTTGACGGCTTCACCAACATATCTTAATCCAGCATATAAAGCAACCTTTAACTCGAACCAACCCTAGCAAAACCGACTTGCAAGGGGAGAGAACCCAAGGGCTTATAAACCCACTATTTGTCTTATAATCATTCCATATAGGACTTTCACTATCTAACAGAAAACCTTTGAATTCTTTGCCTGAAGCTGCCCAAAGCGAAGCTGAAAATTTGGCTTTTTCATACAAATCCTCAATTCCCATTTTTGTCTTCGAACACACGAGCATTTTTCTCCAACCACAGAATTCTCATAATAGAGATTAGCACACACCTCGAAAAGGACCTTCGCTTTCTTACTTGAGCCAAAACTGGTCATCACTATTTACAATGAGCAGGAAACACCCAAGTAATCCCAGCCTCCATAAATAGTCGTTGCCTTAGTGCTCTAGCAACAGGACAGTGAAAAGGATGTGGTCTAATGATCACTAAAATAATCATAGATATCAATTGTCCTTCATGCAGTAGAGAAAATGAAAGCACTGCTTTTTCTTTTTCATTCAAATATTAAAATAAAAAAAATGGAGGTATGATATAGTAATAAATAGAGGCCACGCATTGCTCTAGTTCAAAGAAACGTTGATGAAAAACTAGATTAGAATTTTGAAATTAAATTCCTATGGTTGTCTATTAGGATATATTTTGTCATTAGTATTTAATTTTGAATTTACGGTTATGATTGTTAGTTAGTATTATTTAGAACTAGTCATGTTTAAGTTTTTGTTAGTTTAGATCTCCATAAGCACGCTAGTGATTGCAACTTCAATTCAGAGAATTGGTGATTGATTAACAAATATTGAGTTTGTAGTTTTATCCTCTTGAGTTCCTGTTGTTTTAATACTTCATTAAAGAATATTTACGTTCTGATTAAAATACTCAATTTTGAATGGTATTTTGGTTAATTTAACATCCAAAGAAACTAAACTCAAGGAAATCCCTAACCAATAATTCCAGATTGTTTCCCCCTTAATTAGTCCATCATATTGCCAATTTGCCACAGAATTTCTAAAACTTCTTGCTCAATCAAATAGTTTTTACACTTTACAACTTCCATCCTTCTTTACTTTATACTCTTTAAAACATCTCAAACTGCACAGCCCCCATATCAAATTGAACATGGCTAAATTTAATTAGTTGAGAAAATTGTCGTTCTCTCTCAGGTCGCAAGAATCTGATAAGCCCTTACTCAGGCAAGTGTACATTAGGAGGAATAAAGGCTTAGGAAGGGGCGGGGTCTGGTCGGGATGAAGTTGTTTTCAGCTTACAGTGGGAACTTGTAGTATTAGTAGTTTACTTACTTAGAAAGCTGGTGAGAGGGGAATGTGTGAGGAATGTATAAAAGGAGAGGGGTGAGGAATAGAAAGGGGTTATCGGGAATAATCAGGGAATTGTACAAATCTTGGAAACATTCCAAGAAAGGGGAGGTAGCAGACCCTTGAAGATCTGCGGGCTGGTGTACATGTCCTGTTGCTAATAAAATTCTTCAATTGATTCTTTCTTTTCTTCTCTCGATTCTTTCCATTTGTCCCTATCTAGATTTTGTCTCCAAGTTCGGTTCAGCTCTTATCATTTGGTATCAGAGCAAATTTTTTTCTCTGGGGGATAATGGTGGCCAGGAAAACCAAGGAGAAGTTCGAGGCGATGGAGAAGGAGATCCAACAAGTTAGGGCTTCGGTGGAAAAAGAAATTGGTGAGGTAAGGGCTGAAATCAACCATAATGTGGCTGACGTGAACCAGAATGTGTCAGATCTGCGCTGACTGGTGGAGGAGTAGCTGCGTCTGTTAACCGCGGTGGCGACGACGATTCCACTGGCGGAAGGTTCACGGTCGGGAGCCGCGAGGGTTCGGGAAGAGGAAGTTGGGTTGGCCTAAGGTGCAAACCGCGAAATCACGGGTCGAACGGAGGACGACGGAGAAATCGCGCGTGTTAGGGCTCGGGTCGTGAACGGAATCTATCCCGATTTCAACCGCGACGGCCGAAATGGCCGACCTAGGGATGGCGAGACCGGCGACAGAGAACGAAGTCTCCGTGAAGGGCGGTGCAGCGATTACCGAGTCGGAGGAATTTCCAAGGATGCTCGGGACTGGCGCGAACGCCGAAATGGTGAAGGGGGAGGAGGAAACCGCATGGGAAATGGAGGACCTAGGCTGAGGATGGATGGCCGATACGAGGGAGGCCGATTCGGAAATGGTGGCAGAGACAGTAGGCGCCGTTGGGAAGAAAACGAGGATGGGGACTCCATGGATTTCCTGGGTAACTATGGGGAGCCATGGGGAGGTGAGGAATTTTCACCGGTTCGGCGGAAACAGTTGGATTGCCCGCTATTCAGTGGGATAGATCCGGATGGCTGGTTGTTTAGGATGAACCAATATTTTTCCATTAAAGTTTTCTGAGAAGGAGAAGCTAATTACGGCGGGAATTGCCTTGGAAGATGCATTATCGTGGTTCCAATGGCAAAATCAACGGCGACCTTTCATCACTTGGATCGACTTCAAGGTGGCTCTCTTACAACGCTTCCGTTCGTCACAGGAAGGGAACTTGTGTGAGCGTTTTTTGGCGCTTAAGCAAACTGGAACGGTGGCTGAGTATTGACGGAATTTCGAGGTATCGGCTGCCCCTTTACAAGAGGTACCGGAGGAAATCCTTTAAGGAATTTTTGTGAATGGATTGAGGGCTGACATCCGGGCTGAATTGCGTTTACTTGCCGGAGGGGCTCTCCAAAATCATGGACATGGTGCAGAGGATTGAAGAGAAAAATCTGTTGCTGCGAAAGGAGATGAGAGGGCCTCGGGTTTGGCGTCCTCCAGCGGCGGGGTTCACAGCCAATCCATCTGTGGGAGCCACATCGAACCAGCCCCAAGGCAACCCGAATCAGCCCCAAGGCAACCCTAATGTTGAGAGGCCGAGAAGGGATTTTCCATTTCGAAAATTGTCCGATTCGGAGTGGCAAGAGAAGAGGAATAGGGGGCTTTGCTTTCGTTGTCACGAAAAGTTTTCGGTCGGGCATCGCTGTAAAAAAAGGGAGTTGCGAATTATGTTAGTTAGCGATGAGGATGACTGGGGAAAACCAGGAAATTGAGTTGGAAGAGGCAAAGGGGGAGCCGGAAGAGTTGCTACAGACTGAGGTGATTGAGTTGTCGTTGAATTCCGTAATTGAAGGCATTTTTGTGAATGGATTGAGGGCTGACATCCGGGCTGAATTGTGTTTACTAAAGCCGGAGGGGCTCTCCGAAATCATGGACATGGCGTGAGAAAAATCTGTTGCTGCGAAAGGAGATGAGAGGGCCTCGGGTTTGGCGTCCTCCAGCGGCGGGGTTCACAGCCAATCCATCTGTGGGAGCCACATCGAACCAGCCCCAAGGCAACCCGAATCAGCCCCAAGGCAACCCTAATGTTGAGAGGCCGAGAAAGGATTTTCCGTTTCGAAAATTGTCCGATTCGGAGTGGCAAGAGAAGAGGAATAGGGGGCTTTGCTTTCGTTGTCACGAAAAGTTTTCGGTCGGGCATCGCTGTAAAAAAAGGGAGTTGCGAATTATGTTAGTTAGCGATGAGGATGACTGGGGAAAACCAGGAAATTGAGTTGGAAGAGGCAAAGGGGGAGCCGGAAGAGTTGCTACAGACTGAGGTGATTGAGTTGTCGTTGAATTCCGTAATAGGGCTGACCACACCAAAGACCATGAAGATAAAGGGGGAGATTGGCCACCGCGAGGTAATTGTTTTAATAGATTCCAGCACTACGCACAATTTTATTTCCCTTACATTGGTTTCCGATTTATCATTGCCCATAACTCCTACAACCGGTTTTGGTGTCCAAACGGGCACGGGAGAGTCGGTACAAGGACAGGGATTATGTAAAGAAGTGGCGTTGACCATGCAAAACCTAACTATAATCGAGAACTTTTTGCTGCTGGAGTTGGGAGGAATATATGTGATTTTAGGAATGCAATGGCTTGAGACTTTGGGGAGTATGCATGTCAATTGGAAGACTCAAGTCATGAGATTCAAGGTGCATGGGGAAAGTGTAATGTTGAAAGGGGATGCTAGTCTTATGAGATCGTTAATTTCCCTTAAAGCCATGATGCGCACCATTCGTCATGAAGGCCAGGGAATTTACTTGGAGATGAGCCAATTGGGGGTGGAGCAAAACCTTGGCAACGTAGAGGAAGGCAATGAGCAGCTCCGGTTGTTATTGGCTTATTGCACAAACATGTGGCTGTTCTGGACATGCCAGCCGGGTTACCCCCACACAGGGTGAGGGATCATCGCATAATCCTTGAGGAAGGCACTGGGCCGATTAGTGTTCGACCCTACCGGTACCCACATTTTCAAAAAAATGAAATCGAAAAGCTAGTAAAAGAGATGTTGGCAGTTGGAATCATACAACCAAGTACGAGTCCTTTCTCCAACCCGGTCTTGTTGGTTAAGAAGAAGGATGGCAGTTGGAGGTTTTGTGTGGATTATCGGGCGCTAAACAAAGCCACGGTCCCGGATAAATTTCCAATTCCGGTGATCAAGGAGTTGCTAGACGAGTTGTGTGGCGCCACCATTTTCACCAAGTTGGACTTGAAATCGAGTTATCACCAAATTCGCATGTGTGACGCGGACGTACCAAAGACTGCTTTTCGCACCCCCGAGGGACACTATGAGTTCCTCGTTATGCCTTTCGGATTGACAAATGCGCCGGCCACATTTCAATCCTTGATGAATGAGGTGTTAAAGCCATTCTTACGTCACTTTGTGTTGGTCTTCTTTTGATGATATCTTGATTTACAGCCGTTCTTGGGAGGACCATTTAGGGCATTTGGACAGGGTCCTCTTGGTCTTGCAAAACAACCAATTGTATGTTAACCAAAAGAAATGTCTCTTCGCACAGGAACGGCTAGAATACTTGGGGCATATTGTCTCTAAGGAGGGAGTTTCAACGGATGCCAGCAAGATACAAGCCATGTTGGATTGGCCAACTCCGCGATCCATCAAGGAGTTACGGGGATTCTTGGGCCTTACAGGATATTACCGCCGCTTTGTGGAAGGGTATGGACGCATTTCGTGGCCCTTGACGCAACAACTTCAGAAAGACGCTTTTCATTGGAATTCTAAGGCCGAGGATGCTTTTCAACGCTTAAAAAAGGCTATGACTAAGATTCCTGTGCTGGCTTTGCCGGATTTCTCTCAACCCTTTGTGTTGGAGTCTGACGCTTCGGGGTTTGGCATAGGAGCGGTCTTGATGCAACAGCAGCGTCCCATTGCTTATTTTAGCCAAGTTCTTTCGGCCCGCGCTCGTGCCAAGTCGGTCTATGAGCGTGAATTGATGGCAATTGTGTTAGCCATTCAGAAGTGGCGGCCTTATTTGTTGGGAAGACGTTTTGTGGTGCGCACTGATCAGAAAAGTTTGAAGTTTCTCTTGGAACAGCGTTTGGTGAGTGTGGAGCATCAAAGGTGGTTATGTAAATTGCTTGGCTATGATTTTGAGATTCAATATAAGCCGGGAACGGAAAATAAGGTGGCAAATGCCCTTTCGAGGCAGCAGATGGGCCTGATTTTAATGGTCATGACTACTCCGATGGTGCTTGATATTGAGGAGTTACAGCGGCAGGTTAGATCGAACTCCGGGCTCAGCAAAATAGTGACGGAGTTAATGGCTGGAAATCTTCTTTGACGGGGTATTCCCTTCATCGGGGGCATTTATTATACAAGGATAGGTTGGTCGTTCCTCCACAATCTCATCTTATTCCAACCTTGTTATGGGAATTTCATAGTAGTAAGATTGGCGGCCATTCGGGGGTTCTCAAGACTTACAAGCGGTTGGCCAGGGAGTTCTTTTGGAAGGGGATGCGACGGAATGTTGAGTCTTTTGTGGCTGCCTGTGCCGTATGCCAGCAACACAAGTCGTCCACCTTGTCTCCAGCGGGTTTGCTGCAGCCTGTTAGGAACCCAAAAATCTGAACTTCATTAACAACACTAAAAATGAAAAATTACAGGATAGATGGGCGGTTTCGAGGACCCCCGACCTCCAAAATAGTGCATAGCACTAGACACTCTACAAATCTCATCCTCCCCCTCATTAGCCACTAGACTCTTATTTATACTACTAAAACACTACTAAAAAACAACTACTAACTATCAGGTTCCTAACATCTGCCCATTCCAAATCATGTGTGGGATGACATTTCCATGGATTTCATTGAAGGTCTTCCCAAATCCGCCGGCTGCAATTCAATTTTGGTTGTCGTTGACCGTCTTAGCAAGTATGGTCACTTCATTGGCCTTAAACATCCGTTTTCGGCCAATATAGTGGCTGCTTCTTTTGTCCACGACATAGTGCATCTTCATGGTTTTCTGCAGAGTATAATTTCCGATCGTGACAAGGTTTTTATGAGCCATTTCTGGAAGGAACTTTTCCGGTTGCAGGGTACCACTTTGTGTAGGAGTACAGCGTATCATCCGCAAACGGATAGGCAAACCCGCTGTTTGGAGGCTTACTTGCGTTGTTTTGTTTCCTGCCACCCTCGGCAGTGGTTTACACACCTTCCGTGGGCAGAATATTGGTACAATACGAGCTTTCATGTTTCGGCCGCCATGATGCCTTTCAAGGCTCTCTATGGTCGAGATCCTCCGCGGTTGGTGCCTTATGAGGTTGGATCTACAGCTACATCAGAGTTGGAGCAGCAATTATGTGATCGCGACGTGCTTTTGGCTGAATTGAAGGACCATTTGGGCCGCGCTCAACAGTCCATGAGGGACCACGCCAACAAGAAGCGCCGTTCCGTGACTTTTGAGGTTGGAGACATGGTTTATTTGAAACTTCAGCCGTACCGTCATCGTGCGCTAGCTCGGGTAGTAAATGAAAAGCTTGCGCCTCGCTATTATGGTCCGTTTCAGGTCCTTGCTCGAGTTGGTCCCATGGCGTACAGGCTGCAACTTCCCTCTCATGCTCGGATTCACCCGGTCCTCCATGTTTCGCGATTGAAGAAGGCTCTTGGCTCGGTGGATATTCCTCAATCTTTACCTTCCAATTTGTTGGAGGATTTGACGTTGCAAGTTGAACCGGACCAGGTTCTGGATACACATTTCTCCCCTGTCACTGGTTCTTTGGAGGTTTTGATCAAATGGTGCCATCTTCCAGACTTTGAGTCTTCCTGGGAGCTGTTTGAGGATATGCAGCGCCAGTTTCCTGCCTTCCACCTTGAGGACAAGGTGACTTTTTTAAGGGGGGGTGTAATTGATAAGCCCTTACTCGGCAAGTGTACATTAGGAGGAATAAAGGCTTAGGAAGGGGCGGGGTCTGGTCGGGATGAAGTTGTTTTCAGCTTACAGTGGGAACTTATAGTATTAGTAGTTTACTTACTTAGAAAGCTGGTGAGAGGGGAATGTGTGAGGAATGTATAAAAGGGGAGGGGTGAGGAATAGAAAGGGATTATCGGGAATAATCAGGGAATTGTACAAATCTTGGAAACATTCCAAGAAAGGGAAGGTAGCAGACCCTCGAAGATCTACGGGCTGGTGTACATGTCCTGTTGCTAATAAAATTCTTCAATTGATTCTTTCTTTTCTTCTCTCGATTCTTTCCATTTGTCTATCTAGATTTTGTCTCCAAGTTCGGTTCAGCTCTTATCAGAATCATGAAATGGTAGAAATCTGTCTTGTTCAAGATCTAAAATATGAATGAATTGTAAAGTAAATTCTGCTTCCTAGTCGGTTTTGGCTTCAAACCCCAACTTTTTGCATCAAAATTCTACATGCAAATTTTACGTACTTTCCTTTTTACAAATTGTGACATCACTGCCTTAGCCATTAGACAAATATGCTGCCCGAAAATCTCCAAATACTTTTGATATTTTGGTCTGAAAGAAACCATAAATCCCTTCAAGATTTCAGGAGGTTTGCTCTTTTTTGCAAGTAATACTTGACATACCTAACTAAATATCAAAGTAGAAGCCATAAGCTTCACATCCCACAGCGCAAGCCACAAAAAACCATCATTTTGTCAATTCCTTTTAACTAGTTTACAAATTAACCCAGCAAAGAAAACCAACAAATTATTCCCATGAATTTTTACGACAAGCAAACATCTATGAAGTACCTTGGAAAGTCCAGTTAAGCCATCCTTAACTTTTGGAATGATCAAAATGTGTGTGGGAGCTTGAGGAGAAATGTCTCTAAAAGCAAGGATCTGTTTCAAATAAATAAATAAATAAATAAAATTACACTAGTTATCTATCTCTGTTGAATAAAATAGTCATATCATGACAAGAAATAAAAAGAACTACTAGGAGCTAGTATGTAAGGATCAATTAATATTAGAGTATTAGTACACAAATCATAGACAAAAGACAAGAAACAAAGAAACACATCTTGCAAGTTATAACATTGGTCAAAGACAATTAATTATTAATTCCATTAATTAGCCATACCAGACCACTCCAAAGCCATCAGAATTCCATGAAACACATTTTGTAAAGATATATACTTCCTAAACACATTTGAAAGTATGATAGACCTTATAGCATTAGAGAGAAATTCACTCAATAATTTACAAGCATCATTTTCACCAGATCACTAGTTGGCTTGACCTTGACATGTGGGCGTTCTAGTTTCTGAGAAAGCTAAAAGCACCTATTTTTACTAAAATGCGCTTCTCTCGGTTTATTATGCGTCTGGCTGCGTCGAAAAAGCAGTTCTCCAGCATAATTAAACCGATTATAAAGATTTTAGGATAACCACATCCTTGTATACTACCGACAAAACTGATTTCACGCACAAAGATACTTACTATACACTAACGAAATGTCCAGAGGTCTAACTCTTGAACACAAATTGCATAGGAAGGAATGTGAAAATTGTCAAGCTCACTAGCCTACATTATACGATCTGTTAGCCAGTTTAAAATCCAGAGCTATTCCTTTCAAATAAATTGAAGTATACATACGAAATAGGATTCTTCATCCAATCTAACTATAACTTTACCATCTTTTCTGGGTTATACGAACTTTTATGCTGAATTATACCCATTGAATCACCTAACTACAGAGAACCATAATGTCAGCTACTTGGGTAAATTTAGTGCAAAACATCTACCTCCGAAGTCCAAACAAAATTTGACCTTATCCATTTCAACTTTCGCTTTCAACATGTTTGATCTAGAAGTCAAAATGCATTACTCAGAAGGTACAATGCCGCCGAAAAAAAAATCCGTTCAATCATAAGCCAAACGAAGGAGATATCCCATGGAAATTTACTCAAATAAGAAACCTAACATAAATAAACAGACTGAGACAAAAAAAAAAAAAAAAAAAAAAAAAAAAAAAAAAAAAGAAAGAAAGAGGATGGTAGATTAAACTTAAGAAGCAACTAGGCAGCACCTTATCATCCTCAAAAACCACTTTCGCAGGTATTTCCTTGTTGATGATTTTATCAAATCTGCAAATTTGAATGGATTATAAAAACTATATATAAAATAAACAAACAATGATAATTGAAAGGGGGGAGGGGAATTGGTGTCTTACATGGTGGGAGAATCGGAGGGAACGGCAGAAAGAGCAGCCTCTTTCTCGGAGGAAGCCATGGGAGTGAGGATCGGAGGTTCGGAAGGGAAGACGGTGGAGAAGTGAGAGCTTATGACTCCAAGTCGGCTGCTTCTAGTTTTATGATGGATTTTGGGTTCCATTACTACCAGAACTCATCTCACACCTCCATTTCTCACCTCGATTCCTGTATTACCCAACTGGATGCAGCCACGTGGGATTCTTGTCATTTTGCATTTAGAAAGTCTTTTTTTATCGCGAGTCGTACACAATATTGATTAGGGCTGGATTTTTGTTTACTATTGGGTTGGAGTTATAATTGAATTGACATAATTAATATAAATAATAAATTAATTGGATTATGGTTAATTTAATTTCTTAACACAAAGTGATATATAAATTGATATGATTAATTATATATATTATTTGTAATTTAATAGTTTGTGATATAATATAAAAATTTACATGACATATTGAATACAAATAATGTTAATTTTAATATTTATAGGTAAAATTTATTTATTTTTTAAAAAAAAAGATAAATTAACTAATAAATATGTTAAGCATGTCTTGACCGTATTAAATAAGTTATTATTATTTATTTATTTATTTAATATGTTAATTTAAACGAGTTATACGGGCTGATACAATTAACACGTTTAATAAATGGATTGCGTTTGGGTTGATATTTTTACACGTTTAATAAACAGGTAGTGTTTGGGTTGATATTTTTTTACACGATTAAAAAACGGGTTGACACGAACATGACCCACGAATACGAATTGACACCCTTAATATTATTGATTAGTTAAGAGAGAGAGTGAGAAGGTACTTTGAGAGTAGAGGTTGGCCGGACTCCGGCATCGCCTCCAAGCGCGTTGCTAGATTCCCGGCCGTGAATTTTGGTCCTCCGACTCGTCTCAGCGTGGGCTTTTCATTGGTGGTGGTGTTATACGATGTGGTGGCTCTGTTTGGACAGATCTGAATCGGTTAAGAGCTTGGAAGCCGAATTGACGATCTCATTTCTCAGGAGAGTTTTCTGCTTTGTGGTTGTGATCTCTTCATTGGCTGTCTACCTCGATGGTCCTTTAGCTGGACACCCTTCATCAGAGGTTTCTACTGGCAGTGGTTGGAGGTTTTTTTCTTTTTGTAACTTTTATGTTTGTAATAAGGTTGGTGGTTTATCCACTCAACCCTCATCTAGTTTTTTGTTTTTTGTTAGATTTAGGTGTTCGGCTTAATGATGATAGGGTGGTCATTTTTCAGAAATTCTTCGGTACATCTACCATTGTTCGCCCTATCAATAGAGCTATCGACAAAAGCAGCAAAGTTACGAGAATGCCCCGATATAACCGTTTATCAGCCCGTTTAGTTCACTAATTCGAGTTTTTAATTCAAGTTGAGATTTGACTTTATGTGAGAGCTTTTTACTATAATAAAGAAATTAGATGTGACTGTTTCTGAGAGTATTTTATTATAGCAAAATTTGAATTCTAAACTCGAATCGGTAAAATGAACGAAGCCTATAATATTAGCAGGTGTTGGGTAACCGGTTAGAAAAAAGTGGGCCTAGTTGAAGACAAAAAATTATTTTGGTGTTCCACATAAGAAGAAATAGGCCCCACGCACAGAAAAAGAAAAAGAAAAAGAAAAAGAAAAAGAAAAAGAAAAAAGCTGCATTTGTGGATAAAAACGTAAATTACATTTTTATAGCTTCTTTTTCTTCTAATGGAAAAATGTAATATATATGTAAATATATTTATTATGACTACACCCACAATTTATTTTATTTACATCTCGTATATGAATCCTAGTCTAAAACAATAATACATGTATCAAAATGACAAAATGTAACACCTCGAAAAATTAAACAAGATTAATTAAGGTAATTAAGATTTATTAGTGTGTCTAATCTAGTTTAATTAATTAATTATTGTTTATTAAATGCTTCTGACGTGTAAATTTAAATATTTTCAAAGAATTTAAATATTTTCAGTAATAATATTTTCACCCCAGAAGTGTGTGTTGACACATTTTCTGGACTGTCTTTTTAAATATTTTGGCAAATGTTTTTCTTTCCTTTTTCTTTTTCTTTTTAAATGAGTTGGTGACGTGGCGTATCGTATGGCTTTACCGCTGAGTTATCTCATGTGCACGACGTGTTCCATGTCTCCATGCTTCGTAAATGTCAACCTGATCCGGAAGCCGTGGTGCAATGGTATGACGTCCCAATACAGTATGACGCGACATACGAGGAGGCACCGATTCAGATTCTTGATCAGAAGATGAAGAGTTTGCGTCATCATGAGATTCCCTTAGTGAAAGTTTTATGACAACACCATGGAGTAGAAGAAGCAACATGGGAGCTTGAAACGATGATGTAAGAGCGATACTCGCATATGTTTTCACTTTGAGGTAAGTCCTAATTTTGAGGATGAAATTCCTTAAGGGGTAACACCTCGAGAAATTAAACAGGATTAATTTAGGTAATTAAGATTTCTTAGTGTGCCTAATCTGGTTTAAATAATTAATTATTGTTAATTAAATATTTCTAACGTGTAAATTTAAATAATTCCAAGGAATTTAAATATTTAAGTATTTACATGTTCACCCCAGAGTGTGTGTAGACACATTTTCTAGACTGTCATTTTAAATATTTGAACACCTGTTTTTCTTTCTTTTTTTTCTTTTTATTTTTCCTTTTCTTCTATTCCTTTTTCTTTTCTCTCCCGTGCAGCCCTCTCTCTCTCTCTCTCACTCACACTCTCTCGTTCGTTCCTCTCTCTCTCCCGTTCAAATCTTCACCAAATCAACCGCATTTCGAACCAAAGAAAAATTTGAAGAAGTTTTCAACGTCAAGAGAAGGATTTGAGGTAAGATTTATGAAAAACCTCTCTTGCATCTCGGATTTGTTTATTAGAAAACTTATTTTTAGTTCGAAATGGATTTTGAACGATTTTGTGTAAAACCATGGTAGAAATTAGGGATCTAGGGTTCTATGGACTTGATTTAGTAACTAGAACCTGGATTTGGTTGTTTTCCCTTGAAATATTTCAAATTTGAACTCAAATTTGTAAGTTTTGTCCAAATTTTCTTCTGATCGGGTATGTCAGTCGAGCTGTCAGGCTCCCACCGGTCGACCGGATTGCACTCCATCATGTCGACCTGTGCGGTTGACCGAATTGCACACCACCGGTTGACTGGTGGTGTTGTACTGCTCTGTCACCGGTCAATCGATGTACACGGGGTTTGAGCCTGTTTTGCCTGAAAACCTGTTTTGACCCTAATTTTTGAAGAGAACCCAAATTAGCTTCATTTGGGGATTTAAAGTATATGGATTAGCATCTTACATCCATGTTTTGAGATTAAAACCCTTGAAATGATGATTTGAAACATGAAATGGTTTACGAAACCAGTAAATAAATTATGGCACACTAATAGGAAATCGAAGAGTATAATTGAGATTGAATTGCTTTAGGAATGAGAATTGGATCCTAATGTGTTGTGTTGTATCACTGCTAGCTGAGGACTCGGATTGAGGGGCTTTGAGGAAGCGAAAGCCAGAATAGTGCAACGCTAGTCACGGGTTTAGTGCTTACGAGGTAGGATTCCTTATCCCTTTCTTTGGCAGCCTGATTTTAAAAGAGTTTTAGCATTTCAAATGTTTTAAAGAAATGGCATATTTGCGAAAGAAAAGCATTTTAACACCATAGCTTGATTTAGCTATTGGGATCATAATGAACTATTTCAGAAAGTTTAATGAATGATTTCTTAAGACAAGAGATCTTATGAATCGGTAAACTAGCCAATAGCCTAGATATGATGTAGAGAATGCATCCATGGGGGCAGAACCCGAAACCCGGCCCAGGGGTGATAAGGCTTGTGCTTGTGGTTGTGTAAGTAATTTATCATAGTATAAATTACTTGCTGATTCTCAGTAATATTTCCTTTCAGAAAAAGGATGTAAGGTTCCGGCTGTTGTGTTGAAGCTAAATGTCTATATTTATTTAATTTCTTATTCATTTATTTATTTACTCATTCATTTATTTACCATGTTTTACAAAATTACATCCTACTGGGCCTTTCACTCACGTTTTATCTATTTTATAAATATTAGCCCCTCGTAGGCGACTCTAGGAGCAGTACGGAATAGCTGAGTTAGTTGCTACCATCCGGTTAAGAGATGATTGTGTTCATCCTCCTGGTGTACAAATGTAAGAATTGTAAAGTCTGTAACTTTGGATTTTGGACTCTAATCTTTGGATTCTAGACCGTGGTTGATGTCTGTAATATTATTTACATGTTCATGTATGTACAATATTGCATATCCTGTGGGTGAAGCCCTGAACGATTTAGAAAGTGCGGACGGCCCCGTAGCTTTCTTGTAATTAATTTTCAGCTAAATATTGGGCCCCGTTTAGAAATTTCTTAAAATACTTTACTTTTGATCCTTATTATTATATTTTAAAATTCTTAATCACGTTTAACTCCTAAATGAGCCTCCACGTCACCAACCCCGGCTCCGGGGCATGACAGAGTAGTATCAAAGCCTTAGGTTTAGAAACCACAGGATTGTACATACATGTGTGACATCAGGAATCCATTAAATAGTCTAGTTTCTTTTCAGTTAAAGGAGATGTTGCCGTGTTGTAGATCTGTTAATCAACCGGCACCATAGAATCAGGAGTTCATGGATGCCATGTATGCCGCTTTTCAAGGGATAGCCACTCGAGCTCAGAATGAGCGACCGGCCGAGGATAGGAAGCAAAGTTACTTCCGTGAATTTAGACGTGGACCTATCCCCACATTCAATAGTGACGGAGGACCCCAGGAAGCGGAGTACTGGTTTAACTCAATAGTTAAACACTTAAACACTATGGGAGTGCTGGAAGAATATTGGGTAGAATTCGCGGTGTATAAGATGGAAGGCCAAGTAAGTACTTGGTGAAAACAGGTGAGGAGAATGCTTGATGTTGCAGGATTGACTTGGGAACAGTTTGAAGCCATTTTTAAAGAACAATACTTCCCACAGAGCTATCGGGATGAAAAGGCTATAGAGTTTATGCCTTTGCTACAGGGCGACATGTCTGTGAGGGAATATGAGGCTAAATTCAATGATCTATCCTGGTTTGCACCAGCTCTGGTGGAGTCCGAACACCTAAGGTGTCTTATATTTGAGAAAGGTCT